CCGGCTTTCGGGAGTCGCTAGGGACGTTAGGTGCCAGCCTGAGGCACTTGACGCATGGTTTTAGAGGGGGCAGATGCTCAAGACTTTCTAAAGTCAAACCCCTTTCATGGGTCTTGCTTGGGGCACCCGCCACCTGAGCTATAGAAAAGCACCGGCCAGACGCTGCCCAGACAGGTTCCCTTCAGATTCCTGGCCTCACACAGGCTTTCGGGAGTCGCTAGGGACGTTAGGTGCCAGCCTGAGGCACTTGACGCATGGTTTTAGAGGGGGCAGATGCTCAAGACTTTCTAAAGTCAAACCCCTTTCATGGGTCTTGCTTGGGGCACCCGCCACCTGAGCTATAGAAAAGCACCGGCCAGACGCTGCCCAGACAGGTTCCCTTCAGATTCCTGGCCTCACACACTTTTAAAGCCGACCCCGACCTTACTAGCATCCCATGGTGCTGGTTAGTGTGGGGGGAATGACAGCGAGTTTCATTAGACACACTGTGGTCCCCCTGTAGCTATATCTACAGTGAAAGGCTATTTCAGGATACCGGGGTACCCCAAAATAGCTATACTGCATCTTAACAGCAAGCCCCCTAGTCCCACCTCCTTGTAAAACTCATTCCAGGAGAAGTAAGGGATGTTTTGGAATAGCTGGTTATTTCAAAATTTGGCATTGTGTAGACAGCACCAAATTTCGAAATAGACTATCTTGAAATAAGCTGTGCTATTTGCATAGCTCAACTTGCATAGTTTAGTTTGAGCTAGCGCTGCTGTGTAGATGCACCCTGTCATTGCCTTTATCTTGGAACCCCAGTCCCTTCTATTCTATACAGGCAACATATCCAGCTATCCACAAAAGTTAGGTAGCCAGTAAGCAAATTTCTTCAAAGAATAGTTAATGTGCCCAGAAAAAAAGCTTGTCAAATTCTGGGGTATGTGACTTTTTCTCCTGTTTTAACTCTTTCACAATACTTAATTTGTTTGCTCTTCAATACTGTCAAATAGCAACATGGAACAATCTTTTCAAGGGCTTTTGAATTGCCAGCAACTCTGTTTATACAAGGCTAGTGATTTAAGTAGCCACTGAAAAGGTGTTTGAAATATGACATTGAACTAACACTTTTGGTCATTTCCCCATACAATATACCTTGCTAAAGCCCTTCCAATTTCTCTGGCAATGAAAAAGGAAAATGTGCAAAAATGATTTATTTGTACACAAAAGAGAAAATAAACCAGGAAGAAAGGAAATAAAAAATTCCAGAGCTGACACTTCGGGAAACCAGGAGCAATTATTGTTTGCAAAACACTTTTTATTTGACAATTAGTTTTACATTGCACTTTGTTACAAAACATATTGTAATTGGAAATGTTTTAGACAGCACTGTCTGTTTAAGTGTCCAATCCAGCTCTCACTGAAATGAATGTGACTGCTTTAGAGAACCCACAACATCTACTGAAGTCAACTATGATTGAATGTATCTGTGCTTGCAATGGGTGAAATCCTACTCATCTAACTCATGTGAGTTGTTCCACTGCCCTAAGATACGTGCTTACAACCTCGCTTTCAGTCAGTGAGAGTTACACACTTTTCAAAGATTAGCTTTTGTCCCTTTGACTTTAGTGGGACAATCTTTGTAATTAAAGTAAGCAGTGTATGGCCAAAGAGAATTATTGGAGGCACTTATTCCTCCTACAATTCAACCATGATTGCACATTGCATACATAACTGTCTTCTATTACATATTTGAATGAGTTTATCTAAATGACAAGAGATAGGACAGCCAAATTCCTTTGAAATTCACTATACAGATTCCTCATCATAACTTAAAGCAAGCTAAGAGTTTGGTTGTGCTAGTAAATTAGGATGTGACTGGAATAGAATTGCTTCTCATAAAACTATACAGAAAAGAGACAGAATCACCTGGCATGCGAGAGGGACTGGATGGGGAGTGCCCTCCCAGGACTACCCCAGCCCTCAGCCTCTCCTCTCCCCTCTCCTCCCCTCCCTAGCACTCTTTAGAAAGGGCAGAGGGCAAATGCTCCTCCCGATTCATATGGGAACATTGCTGGCTGTTCCCCTTCATCAAGGAGCGTTGGGAAAGTGCACAGTTTGCTGCATTTCTCACTCTGGCTGGGGAGCAGAGCGGGCAGATGAATCTGGACTTCCCCCAGCTGAGGGCATGAATCCCTTGTGTAATTGTGCCCAGTAGAACTGCAGCAGCAATGGAGAGGCACCTGGTCCTAAGCTGCTAAAGTACTCCTGGGTACTCCTCTCTCCCCAGGTCAGCTTGCATACTGAACCCTTCATCCTTATCCCCACCCCAGAGCAATGATTTAAATAAGCATGTACATTTTCATTTTATTTTCCAACCCCATCCCCACCAAAAATAAATAAATAATTGAGTTAAGGACCTGAGCGACACTGGGTAAATCTTCTAGTTTTTTTTATAAAAAAGATATTTATGCAATATAAAATAAAATTTGCAATAACACATTTCAAAAGCAATTGCACTGACACTGAAGAGCAAGCTATTCATATAGATATCAGGGGAAGCAAGGTCCGGGGTGGAAGCAAGGCTCCACCAACCATGCACCCAAAAATGTAGGTATTACGCTGCTTGGAGCAGAGATCCTGCAGTGTCTCTTCCTTGCCCCATAGCTCAAGGGGGGACAAGATCTCCACTCTAGACCAGGAGGGTGCCCACCTCTTGGTCCCCCTGGGTGGGTCCAGGGAGCCCTGGAGCTGCTTCCTGTGAAGGCCAGGGGAGTTGCGGGGGGCTTGTGGCTCGGCCATTGCTGAATTTCTGGGTAGCAGGGAAAGCTGCGCAGTCAGGTGCTGCTCCCAGGGCGGGCTTCCTGCCACAAGGTTTGTCCTGGGTGCCTGCAGCTTTAAGAGGGGACAGGAGACAGGAACTATAAAGTTATGATTACTTTGGATGGAGTGGCCACCAGGGCACCTGTGCTTTTTCCTGAAGGCCTCTTTTGAAAGAAAACCCTCTTCCCTGTCCACACACACTCTTTTGGAAAAAGGCATCTTCCTCAGGCGGAAACCCCCCTCCATTCTTTTCATTTTCTTTCCAAAGAATGTGATTGCAGTGTGGATGTAAGTGAAGTTTTTTCAGAAAAACAGCCATTTTTCCGAAAAAACTCTGTAGTGTAGACATAGCCTAAGAGATTGATTATGGTGTAAGAGTACCTTTATAGGGAGAAAAGCCAGGTATCAGGCCCGCTGAAAGATGGGGAAATGATTCTAAAAGGTCTGGGGCTCCTGGCCGCCACTGCTACTGTGGCAGTGGCAACTGAAACTCCAGGCCTTTTAAATCACTGCAGGAGCACTTTGTGGCACACTCTGGGTGGCTCTCAGGGCTCCATTGGAGGGCTGTAGTGTGGTATACTCTGGGCAGCATGAGGACTGGCTGCTCCCAGCCCCAACCCTTCTGCCCAAGGCTCTGCCCCTGCTGGGAGCACGGAGTTGAGCCTCTCCCACCTTGTCCTGGAACCAGGCAAGTCTGTTGGCTTCCCCGTCAGGTATCAATGGAATCTTTAATCTATAGTGCATCTACATTGCACCATTTCCCCAGAATAATGGCCATTATTCTGGAAAAACAATACTAGCATTCACACTGCAAATGCGTTATTTTGAAAGAAAATTGAAATTACAGAGAGCTTTTCCCAACATTGGTAAACCTCATTCCACGAGGAATAAGGCCTCTTCCAAAAAAGCTTTTTCGGAAGAGGATGTGTGTGGACGCTCCACTGCTGCTATGTTGAAATAGTCCTCACCAGGGCCATTCTAAAGTTTTTCGTCCTCAGTGCCTCCTGGGGCTCTAAGTTGAGATAGAGCGCCCACATTAGGGGAGCCTGCCGCTGACGAATTTTGAGGCTTCCCTGTAGTGTGGATGCTCTATTTCAAAATAATCTTTTCTGGAAGATATCTTCTGGAAAAGCTTATTTTAAAAGATGTACGCTCTAGAATGGAAAAGTCTAAGAAGAACTAAGGGCTGGAAACTGAAGACAGACAAATACACTTTAGAAATAAGGGATACATTTTTAATGGTGAAAATGACTGACTGTGAAACAAACTACCAAAGCAATGGTGGTTTCTCCACTGCTTTATTTTCAAATGAAGACTGAAATGATTTTCTTGACGGTATGCTTTAGCAAAACACCAATTTATATTTTAATTAAATATGAGTTGTTGAGTTCAATACAGGGGCTCTGGGGTGACATAAAATGGCCTGTGATATACATAAGTTTAAACAAGATGATGTAATAGTCCCCTCTGAAATTAAATTTGATGAATTTATAAATAAAATTGTTTTAATCAAGATTATTACTTGATAATGGGCCTGCTTGGCTCCTATTTTCATTAGCACCAATGGGAATTTTCCATTGAGATCAAGCCAATTGATAATTTCAGCTGATTATGCCATTTGGCATGAAATACAGGGAGACAGCACAAAGGTATGAAGAAGAGAAAACTAGATTCTTGGTTATAAGGAAAAGAGAAGGATTTTTTGTATTCTTAAACTCATCATACATACCTTGATTTTCATATTGTGCAGCTAGATCAGTGCACATTTCAAGAGGTTTCTGTAGTGTGCAACTTGCAGTCAGTTTTTTGAGATTCTCACTGGTTCCCATCTTGATTATGTCCTGATTCTCTCTTAGTACTAACAGTCTAAAGAGATATAATGGCCACAGCTATGAAAGATTTTTCCTAGAAAAGTGAAGTATCACTTCACATTTTTTGCTGAGCATAGAGGTTTTTTAAAGCATAATGTTGCCTGAAGTAAGAACAAAAACACGCAAGATGGTCAGCATTCTCAGATTGGCAGATTTTGCTAATAAAGATTACAAACACTTTCTCATTTTCCTGTAAATGGAAAGGTTGTCTCCCATGTGTAGTGTGTTTTAAACTGTATTACCTTACCTGTTACCGATACACACTGCTTTTTTTCCTTTAATAATACCAATCAATTGTTGGGAAAACAACTTTGTTTTATTCTAGAATATATACTGCCAATCATCTGGAGCAGTGTTTCTCAACCTTTTTTTCATAAAGTACCCCTTAAAAAAAAAAGTACCTCCGATACCTACATTTTTCAGACACACTCAGAGCTGGGCGAGCAATGACATTTTTGGCTGTAAAAAGTACACAAATAATAAAACTGTAAATGTAAAACCAACTTCAGTTTTCTCCAAATTTCAGTTGTGTTGACATATCCCCCGGACTTCTCAAGGGGAACCCCTAAGGGTACTCGTACCTCTGGACGAGAAACACCGCTCTAGGATGAGTTAAGAAGCATGGCAAAAATGGGGAGAAAGGCAAAGGAAGTACAGAATCTTTCTTAATTGTTTGAGAAAGGACTGAATTGTAGATTCCTTAGATTAAGACTTGGGAACAAATTCTTTCTAAACCCTCAAGGTCTAGTTTATTATATCTGGTTGAAAAATAACATTTATTTTAAAAAATTCAAAAATTTCAAGGCATTTTCATTCCTCCAAGTCCTGAATATTTCAAAAACTTCCATGATTTTTTGATTGAATATTTTTGAAATTTTGAATATTTTGATATTTTTGAAAATCACTCATCATCCTATCCACAACCCACAATCTGGATTTTTCTTGCATACACACAGCAAACCATCTGAAGGGGAGGAGGAGGGAGCACAGACGAGTGATTAGGGGGCAGGGTCATTCTGGGAAGAGGCAGGCAGCATGAAAGTAGGGACTGGGGGCTAGGGCTCTGCAGGTCAGTGCTCACCAGGTGGAGGGGGTAGGAGAGTCAGGGAGGGCTGGCATTCAGCCCTTCCTGCAGGGAGATTTAGGATAGAGCTTGTTGCATTCTTTCCCTGCCCTGGCACCCCTACCTCTGCCTTGTCTGGGGTGGGGGAGAGCCCTTTGCGGGTATCAGCTCCACTATCTAGGGATCTGAAGCAGCTATGCAGGGCTCTACTGATGTGCATTAATAGTATAGTTATGGGCAATTTAAAACATATTTTAAGCACATTTCCTTTCTTATGTGACTAATAATAGCTTGGATTACTAGCTAGCTTTCCACTAAGGGGAAATTGACCAGAATAGCTCCCCATCTAAATATTAGCATAAAATATTTAGAATAAAAATGATTTTATTTAAAAATAATTATTCCACTTGCGAAGCTATTCTCATTATTTGGTGATAGTGTCTTATTCTGTAATAGTGTCTACATGCGAAGCTATTCTCATCAATTACTCTGTTCACAAGTCCAGTTAAACCTGAACAATTTTTTTAAAAATGCAATTTACTTTTCACTTTTCCTGCTGTTTATTTACTTCTTACATTTCTGTCAGCTTAGAAATAAAAATAGGTTTTAGTGACATATATGATGGATTCTTACAGGCATCTGAATGACAAGAACATTAAGGTCTTTTGTGACAAACTGGAAACTTAATGTGTATTTTAATTGTTTCATGTGTACATTGTAGTAACATTTTCCTGGTTATGTTGTTTTATTGGACATTTTTATTGTAAAATTATAGTGATTGTTTCTGTATATCAAATTATTAGGGACTGGTGATTACTGAAATAT